TGTGTGTGTGAGAGAGAGAGAGAGAGAGAGAGAGAAAGAGAGAGAGAGAGAGGTATCGCCGCCACGAGTCGACCTTAACACACCAGACAATGCATATCAAACTAGTTGAAGTACGTGACGTCTCATATGTGGATGCATCTGACATGTTGATTTCACTTGAATATGATTACGGTTTCCTCACATACTGATTTGTTACCTGATTTATTTCTTGACTAACTTGAGGATATTTAGTCATAAACCTTTCATTATTTTTAGTGTGGTTAAAAAGTTACACCTAGACAATTACCAAATGTAACATTGCCTTGTTGAGTAGTTTTATGCCAGCAGTCATGTTTAAAACTAGGCTTGTTCATTTGCGCTACCACATAAAGATCAAAGAACTCATTCTGCACATTTTGGACCATAGTTGTTGAATTTTAGCGTCGAGAAACACTCACCATGAATTTTTAGTTGCTCTCGTCCGAAAAGTAAGCGCAGTGAATCATCAGTCATCAGACGGAGTTTGACGAGATTGACTAAAAATTCACGGTTTGGGTTTTTATTGTGTTGGAACAAAGCTATAATTTTACAATTATGGATCCTACCCAAACAGACGCGCTTACGTTCGAATTTGGACCATTGTTCTGTTTCGTACATATGGTACACACCAAATTTTCCACTACAGATCGACAAGAACTAAAATATCAAAATTGCAATGACGCTCTTTAATCTAAGTGGTTAGTAGAGTAATATGGAGATGTGGAGAACTTTCTGTACTTACGATGATGCTCTAAAAGCGGCTTGTCTGCAGGACGAAACGGCGCACAATAGAGACTCCGGGCCGGGAAATGATATAGATATTAAATACCTACCTAGAAGTTTTTTTATTCAAATAAGACAGCGAAAACAACCAAGGTGGTGACGCACTCAAGCTTGAGCACTTATATTTACACAGAATGCACTAAAGCAAATATTGTAAGAAAGACACGGTGTGGTGTATGTAACCGCCAGCCCAGCCCCACCTAATGTAGTAATGATAACAATAACTAAACACTATTGCACAGTGATAGTACTTGGTACATAACCCCTCAGAATAGCTTTCTTTTTGCTCAGAACCCCTTGTTGCCACTGGCAACGGCCAAAAAAGTTTTACAGGGCATTCGTCCTGATTTTGGCATGTACAAAACATAGAAATTGGCTAACTTTAGGGCACTATACCTGATCAGTGATTTGGCGTAACGACAAGAGCAAGATGTGCTGATAAGAGCAATGGCTAAACTTGTATAGAATAGCAGTAAAGCCAATGTTCAGTAAAATCTGAGGTCTTGGGCACTCTGAATACAATGCACTGTTTTAAGGGTGTAAAAAACTGAAATTGTGCCCAACTTTGAAGCACTGTAAGTCCCAAAAGGGGAAAATGTTTTGCTTGAAATTTACACCACATAATAAACCACTATAGAGGTATCAGATGAATGCTTGAAAAGTTTGGGTTCTTGTTTCGTTGCTACGCACTTGTCCTTTAAAGTAGGTCAGTTTTCGTTATTTTGATGATATGTCATTTTGTGCTATCTTTGAACTAACATAAGATCCAAACCAAACTAGTTCTTTACTTGAAATTTACATGAAGTATAAAACAACAAATTGTCTATGAAATGCATGCTTGCAAAGTTTGGGTCTTGTTTCGTTGCTACGCAATTTGTCCTTTAAAGTAGGTCAGTTTTCGTTGTTTTGATGATATGTCATTTTGTGCTACCTTTGAACTAACATTATAGCTCCAAACCAAACTAGTTCTTTTCTTGAAATTTACATGAAATATATAACAACAAATTGTCTATGAAATGCATGCTTGCAAAGTTTGGGTTCTTGTTTCGTTGCTACGCACTTGTCCTTTAAAGTGGGTCAGTTTTCATTATTTTGATAATATGTCATTTTGTGCTATTTTTGGACTGACATAAGTTCCAAACCAAACTAGTTCTGTACTTGAAATTTATTTACAACAGAAAACAATATGTACACTGTGGAATGCGTACTTGCAAAGTCTGGGTTCTTGTTTTGCTGCTACGCACTTGTCCCTGAAATAGGGGCAATTTGCATATTTTCATGTCATCTTGTCCTATCTTTTGACTCTCATAAGTCTCAACAGTAAACTGTTTTGCTATTTAAATTTACACTGAATGTAAACCTATATATTGTCTTTGAAATGCATGTTTGCATAGGTCAGATTCATGTGTTCTAGTGGTTGTACCTGTCCCTGAAAGTACGCCATATTCTTCACTTGTCTACTAATGAAAAATATTGGCTATCTTTGGGAGTCTAATATGAAAAAGGAAAGGTTTTAATTCTTCTATCTCTAATTTTGCCAGATCTATGCCTTGGGTTGTTTATGAAATAGTTAGCATCGACGTTTGCATGATATAGTTGTAGCAATGTGGCTGTTATTGAACGTATGCCATTTTATCTTAATTTGATGATAACAGTCTTATACAGTCATATTTAGCGTCCCCACATTATTGACTCTCGAAGACTTGACTTGTTTCTATATTTGAATAAATATAATAAATCCCTGCGCATCTTTCTAATATGTAGTCTATCACTCTATGTCTATGTCTTTGTATAACTATGTCTATGTGGAAAACATGCATTTCAGTCAACTCCGCTATTCCTGTACATGTAGACTGTACTCATTTTGAGCAAGGACAGGAACTTAAGTACTCTTTCAGTTTTGCTACAAAGGCCGCTTTCCGACTTAAAGGACAAGTGCGTAGCAACGAAACAAGGACTTAAACTTTGCAAGAATGCATTTCATAGACAATTTGTTGTTTTATATTCTATGTAACTTTCAAGTAAATAACTAGTTTGGTTTGAACCTTATGCTAGGTCAAAAATAGCTCAAAATGACATATTATCAAAACAACATAATTTTCTTGTCATTCTTTTAATGTAGTAAGTCGAATCAATCCTAAACATACTGATATCTGTGTTGCAAAAATGCGATATCGCTGACAGAAAACGGCTCTTTGTTTTGTATCCTTCTAGCTATTTATGGGTGGTACGCCAAAATTAAGAGACTGCTCACGTAGCTTATTTTGAGCGCTTCAAGTATGACATGATGTACTTAGAAATGGCAGTAAAAGTCGACATCGGACTGATTTCCTCTCCAGGATGCTTTTGTTTCGCCACCCTGAAATTGTATCAGATGTCTTTAAGACTCTAGGAAAACACTAGGATTGTTGGAACACACCATATCAGAGTCCATCTTGGCAAGCCGTCGGTTCCAATTAGACTTCACAGACATTTGAAAGTGAAAACTCACCAAAAAATAAGGGGGATTGTCGGTCAGATTCTTTTAAGTCAGTCTCATTGGCGATAGTCAAAACTTTATGAGCTGAGATAAAGTGCAGGTCATTCTCCGGGTCACCTCAGGGTCCTTCTCATTAAATGGTTCCAAATTCACACCTGTATAAAAATAGAACGTTCCGAAATAACTTCTGCCCAAAGCGACCTATTTGCCAAGTCATCCAAGTTTAAGATGGAACCTTCCCAGTTTGACAACATTTAAACAAAGATTGGTCCATCTAATCAAGAATGAAGTATTCCATTGGCCTCATGTCCGAAAACATTTCCACAACATTGGTTCTGCCGTCCACGATCGCGGAGACCCGGCAGGAGCGCCGCTTCCCTGGCCGATTTTTATGGGCATGGAGTACACGGTGGAACCGGTAGGTGGCATCTCGTCCAGGTGAGCCACGTTCTCCAGGATGAGGACGTTGCTAGGTGAGAAGATTTTGTGGACTTTAGGTTTTCTGTTGCGGTAAGGCAGAAAGTTGTGAACCGTTCAGACACAAGAAATTTGTCCCATGCAAATCCCTTAATATATATAGAGAGAACATATTTCAAAAGGTGATGAAATTTGACACAACCACACTAAGGCTACACCAATTTAACCCTCAACAGTACACCTTCCAGGACTGATTAATCTGTACACCTGTGGTCCGCGCGGACCCCAGAACAGTTCTTTGCTAATTTTTAGAAATTATCAACATGCTACCAGCTCAATTATTTTGCAACTTGATGTGTGAACCTCTGAGTCCACATTACGTACAAAAATCTTACATTTTGACCTTTTCCTATTTTTTGGTGAAGAAAAGACAAAAAGAGGAAAAACAGATTTTTAAACCCTATTCAGACCGAGTGGTCTTTTGAGGCCCGCGCCAACTTGAATCTCAAATAGCGCCTAAACGGCTTGAGCTAGAACAATCAAATTTGGTGAGCTCCCCTAAAATGTATCTGGAAAAAGTTTCACTTTGGCTAAATAAGTTAATAATTTTTGTGTTGCCATGGCAACCGCTTGTCAATTCGGTCCCCTGGCTGGTTGTTTTGGGAAGATTTGATTGTATATTAAAAGTGTGTTAAATATGTAGGGCTTAATGTGTGCATTACTAAATAATGTGTGCATTACTAAAGGGTAAATGCCCCGCCCCGATGTGTATATGGTGTGATAATCCCTGGTCAGGTTTGATAACCACCGAATAAACCACCAAGTGAGCGTAGCGAACAAAGTGGTTCCGCCTTTCCTTCAAGCGGTCAAGCTGTTCATTGAAACTAGCAAACTGAGTACTGTAAATCTTAATTTTTAACTATCCACAAAGTTTAGTGACTTAAGAGGTCAAGATCCACCGCAACTATTTCATGGGTGTACCATAACAAGCTCGTAATGGTACACTCACAACTTGCTTCATTTCTTCACCGGGACACGCATATAATGTACTAGTGATTCAACCAGAAGCAAGCAAAACAGTACATTAACTATTCTTCCGGAAATAAAACATACAGCTACAGAAAGTGTGTGTCACCATTTTATTTACAAAATGCAGTGTGTAAATATACCATGCCACAGTTATATTGAAACAGTGGCGTCGTTACGCTTTGAAAGTTCGCAGCTTATTTGCACAAGGTTATTTACAAATGTACTACTAGATTACATTACGATTTAGGAGTTTCTCCGTAAATTAAAAAAAACAGCAGTGTTTCAAGGAGACAATATCAGAAACAATGAGACTACTAAATTCCCCAGCGTGCAGACAATATCAAGCAAGATGACGTCTCACCACTAATAACTACAATTTTACAAACGAGTTACAAAGTACGAGAAAGTGGCACTCATCTGCTAAATTCTGAGCGCAACACAAGCGAGTCTTACGAACTTTGATGAAACATTTTTAAGTCTATGCGCCGGTGCGCTGTTTATTTTAATTACTAGTGTGCCCTACTTACCCTGTACATTATGTCGTGATCTCTCCGCTAGATGACATGCAGGCAAAGTTTAAAATGTCCTTATTGTTATCCTTATCCAAATGTTGTATTGCGGATTTATAATTATATTTAGCTATGTCAAAACAATGGTTTGTTTGCGACCAGTTCCAAATGTTTTTGTTTTGACGTCAGTGTTGTTGTCAGAGGCCTCTAAATAGACCTTAATATTCCATCATAGATACTTTTTCTTAAAGTTTTATTTTTTTTCCTCTATCTGAGTTCAACAGAAAAAAATTGATAATAAAAAAAAACATACATGACGTCACGATGATGTCAAATGACTTTTTAACTACACCAAAGTTGTTAATATAAATAAAATATTACTACACCATTCTCTGACTAAATTTGGTGCCCCTACGATAAGTGTATAAAATACATAAAAACGGAAATAAAGTAATGTATAAGAATGCCAGTACAACTATTACGATCGCGGACTCCAAAAGAAAATCAGATATAAATGTTTCCTTTAAAATGGAGAAACGCAATTTTTGGCACTGTATTGAAGTGACAATTTCCTTAAAATTATATATTATAGCATACATAGTGCTGGAGTCCACGCGGACCCCGGGTATACTGTTTAGGGTTAACTACTGAGGACATCAACTCTTGAAAATACCATGCCATATTCAACACGGAGCGCCGGGGTACCATATTATTACACCAACTTAACTTAAGTCCAGCTAAAATTCCCCAAGTCACCATGCTTCTCCGGGACCTCAATAACAAATCTCGGACGGAAATTCAAACAAATCTGTTGACAACACCCCCCCCACCACCTGGGAAAAATTAATTCTCCCTATGACGTTAAGGAAGAACCATGTGGCGTGGAAAGATAGTTACGGTGGATTGAGACCTTAAATCGTGACCTACGGTAGTTACCACCATCTCTCCATCTGGTCCCATAGCGATACCAGTCGGTTCTTGAATGTTCGCAATTGTTCGGACAAATTCCCCACGGTTTGTGAACATGTCCACCCGGTTGTTTTCATTGTCTGCTACGATGATATTACCCAACTTGTCCCGGCAAATACCATAGAAATTATACAGCTGGCCATTACCCCTTCCGGCAAATTCTACTATCTTGACTCCGGAGTGACTATACATTGCAACAGCCTTAAAGGCGCTATTAAAAAATGTAAGCAGTATATTTCCCTCGCTGTCCGATGTGACTCCTCCGATCCCTCCCTCACTACCTGATGACACTTTAAAACTCCGATACAGAGAGCCGTCTGGATCAAACATCTTTACTGTACTTCCCTGTCCGACGATGATTTTATTGCTGCACACGTCTATCGCAATGGAGGGCTGGAAAAAAGGTCTCGTAAAGCCTACGTTATTCGAACTTCTCGTCTCGAGCTTCTTCATGGCCTGACCACTCCTACTGTACGTTACAACCTGCACATTTCCCGCATTCCCACCAGAATTCAAAATAGTTCCCACTACCCACAGACGGTCGGGCTCTATACCAATAGCAACATCAAAAGGCATGATAAAGACATTTTTACCCGGCAGTGCCGTTGAGAAGCGGCGAAGATAGTTCCCATTTATACTGAAGACTTTGACTCCATTTAAGCTGGTTACAAATATCTCATTGTCAGCAGACACGGCGACTCCGTACGCCTCTGTCATGTCAGGTTCTTTTCCATTTCCTCGAATGGTAATAATCTTCTCCAACTTCCTGTCACCACTCTCTAGGAGTCATAAAAGAAGCGCATTTCCCATGTTAAAATGTGGTGTATTTACACAAAAACCTGCACACATACATGCACGGACGTGCACACACACACACGCACACACACACACACACACACACACAAACATGCACGGACGACAAACACACTAACGCAACACACATGCATACATGTAAATAACACACCCTCCCACGCACATACACACAAAAAGACTGCAATTCACGCCTTCTTGTAAAATGTTAAGCCGTATATGTTGACAACAGTTGCAACAATATTAAAAATTCGGAGACCTTATACATCCTTAAAATATGTTTTTGTAAATGTTTATTTTTTGCATTTGTCTCACTGAGTATGGAAATAGGGTCATAATTACCATACTAATGATTTTCTGAACTCAAATTACAATAATTTGCCTAAATTCCTATTCTTTGGCAATATTTTATTTCAACTCATTGATAATGCACATGACCTAAACATTAACATAATATATGCAGAGTGATAACCTTTAAGTAACTTAACACGCATGGCACAAGGAATAAAATTCCCAAAATTCACTAATACGGAATCACAGAATACTTTACTTTACTTTCGTGTGTGGAATCACAGAATATTCACATTAATTATTGAAATTAGATCATTATTTGCATAATTGCTATCTGCTGATTTTTCACCTGCCATACATAACATACATTAGATGTATAAAGGTACATGAAACATACATACACATAGACTCACCTTCATAAATCATTAAGTACCTGTGTTATGGTAGTAGACACAGCCCGCACAGTCACAGTGAGCTGCAGTATTCCCACACCAGTTGCCCGGAGAGCAGCATGGCCAGTTACTGTCAGGGTCACACTCAGCGGTCCTCCCATCACCTGTAGTGTAACCGTCTCCACAGCGGTAGTCGTCCCGCCATTTCTGAGTAACTATCGGGAAAAAGACAAACAACAGTAGCGCGATGTTTGTGGCGATCAAATTCTTGAAACACACGAAACACATAAAAGCTCACTAACTTGCTGGAAGGGCCCTCTGAGATTTCAACTTAACTCGATCTCTGCAAAGTTCTAGCTGCGTTCAGGCACAAACTGGATTCATGCACAGTAGGTTTCTCTCCCTTAGGGATTTTGAAACTAGCTTCTTGTGTGAAGTATTATGTTTTAACATTTCCTACCAACAGATAAACTTTCGTCCTAGTCTCACCTTGGCGTTGTGAGGTGTTGGAGACTGCTGAGAACGCGGAGACAGAGCTGCCACCTCCGGTTGGTACAGAGGTAAGAGTATAGACAGTAGAAGTGGTAGAAATCGTCGTAGTAGTAGTATTATTAAACTGCATTGAAAGAATGAATATCAAAGTTCTTTAAATTGCCCTGATGAAGATTACAGGCGGTCATTGAAACGTCGGCTCGTAAAAAAATAAATAGTTGTCATCAAAGAACTTTGCTATTCATTCGTTTACCGACCTGATCAAATTTTTACGGATGTTTTGAAAGAACAAGCGAAGTAATCTATTCCCTAATTCTAAAGGATCATGCAACTTTGTGTGCACAAGGTTTTGTTTTCGGCCTGTGTCTGTGACTGTAACTGCATCCATAAAGCCTGTTAAACTGCCCTTTGGCAAAACACACCAGCTTTCAAGGTCTCTCTCTCTCTCTCTCTCTATGTGTGTCTGTGTTTGTGTGTTCCCGTTTTTTGTTTGCATTGTTCACACGATAACGAAAATGGTACAACACAAATTTCCGAATATTTCTGGTCGACATAACTTAAGGCCTTTAAGGGTTTTTGACGAATTTAAGTGTGTGGGTAGGTCGTAGGAAGACAAAGGTCTAAATTTAACGTCAATTTTACATAATTATATGGGGAAAATACTATGATTCCTTATCGGTAAATGTTGCGAATTTCATACTTATGACATGCCGAGGTTAGTTAAGTGTTACATCGAATTTGAATTAACATCAAATTAGAATTATGATTATAAGTATAACCTTATTTTCATAAACAATGAGATGAATACAAAACATTTACACAAGCCTAGGTATGAGATCTGCACATTCTTGTTTACTGTTTTGTGAAGCTTGACCTTTTTTAAGTATCGTATAGTCCAACAAGAGTTCCACGATCTCATACCTTCGCCAAATGATGTTAACCCTTGCGGGTGACGAATTATACAATTTTAATCATTGATTTTGTAAATAAGAGCCTTATTTGCATGGATTATATCAGTTAATCATATTCTCCATCCAATGACAGCCTTAGCATAACAAAGGCTATTATAGCACCTCATCATAAATTATGCAAATGAGGTCATGATTTGAGTAAATCATGTTTATTGATGTTCACCTTCACTTAACTTCCAAATGTGGCAAGTATGAAATTCGAGGTGCAAGCAGTTACAACTATGGAATAATAAAAATTTGTCATTAATTATGCAAATAAGGTCCGTATTTACATAATCTATATCCTCAGATGTTTTTCTCGTTCTCAAGTAGATGTCACAAGTGTTTCATAGTTCTATAATCGAACAAAGCAGATTTATAGAATTTCCTCATTAATTATGCAAATTAGCTCGTGATTTGCATAATTGCCATTTGATTATGTCAAGCATTACTTCAACTACCTTCATACCAAAAATCAAGACAATAGGTCAACTGGTTCTTGAGTTATCGTCCTTCAATTTCTTTTCGACAAATGCTCCTGCAGTTCCAGAACAAGGCGCTAGGGAACCAAAACTCATGTCACTTCTTTCCTACCCAAAGAGCTATCTACCAATCGAAATTCGTGACCCTAGCATGTCCAGAACATGAGATATCAAAACCGGAAGTTTAGCTGCAGTACCTAGGAAAGCCTAGCAATTTCTAGGTCTCATGAAGACCTACTAACCTACCAAGTTTCATTCCAATCCATCCACTGCTTCTTGAGTTATCTTGCTAAACCATACGAAAAAAACACACACACACACACACAAACGCTACTGAAAACATAACCTTCTTGGCGAAGGTAATTATGCAGACAATATACATATACATAATGGTAGACTTTACTTTTACCTTGAGTTGTACAAAACTACGGTTAAATACACTGAAACATGTCCTCCATGAAATATGAGAAAGGTACTTTCTCACATTTCAAAACTTAAAAAAATTCTCCTGCATTAGAGAACCACAAGAGTCTGCCTCCCAAATACAGACAGAAAACAGGGGGGGGGGGGTAACCAGCTTAAACTCTGAAAACAGCTGCCAACAGCTGGGCAGACAAGACCCCATCACTCAGGTTTATCATTATGCCCAATAAACTGGTAATATTTTGAGGGGAAGGGATTTTCAAACATATTAACTAGAAATACAACCCTTTTAGGGCCTCTACTGTGCAGCGCAATAGTGACGTCTGCCCTGTAACTAAACGAGAACTCTAAAATGCAAAAGAAAGCTCACAAAACGGTGAACACAGCGACAGCAAGACACGGCTATAAGACCTACCGTTGTTGACCGGGCGCTTAAAGTTAACCAGAGAAAGACTCCAATAACGACGCACGACACAAGGACCGTAGCTGTATATACTGCAGCTAAGCAGAGCTGGCGACGGGTGCATCCTGAAATATTGCAGATTAGTGCCATGTTAGTCAACTGTTGGGACCAAAATATGAGCATTTTGTAGTTAATTCAGAACGTGATTTTATCTTCAAATCAGACAAAAAGGAAGCGGATGGATCCGAAAACCAAATGATTAAATTGCTGTGGACCTACATCAATTGATTTGAAGGTAAATAAATTGGATTTTGTATAATAACGGATTGATGCCCAGCCCCTAGCTGTAAATGGTGAGATAATCCCTGGTCAGTTGTGATAACCACCGAATAAAACACCAAGTGAGCGGAGCAAACGAGGTGTTTTATGAGGTAGTTATTGCATCTGACCAGGGACTATACCACTATATACACCGAGGATAAGGCGGGACATTAAAGTTATTATCATATAGCCTGTCCAACTGACAGTTAGTTGACAAAAGTATTTTATAAAATTCCTCCATTGCCAAAAAAAACTCTCACATTCAATGTTACGTGAAACAAGATGACATGGACAGAAAAACAGATCAATTAGACAATGATCTGTGGTGATCATGTGACATTGGAACAGTACAATTTTAGTGGGGATGTCAAAAATCATCGTCCGTTAAAATTTCTTTTTTTTCAATTGTGCTGTGTTCTGAAACAAATTATTAAAAATTAACTACAATACGTTTTAATAGATAAATACTACAAGTCTTAACACTACTATTAGTGCCCTGTCCCCAGCATAATGGTATTCTAATAACCGACCGCACTGACAAATGGAGCATTCTGATTGGTCGACGCCTTCTGCCTATATGATAATACATTTTATAACACTGTATGCATTTCATAGCCGTAATGCAAATTGTCATGAAAGTTTATCTGTGTTGGTATTTCATGTTTGAAGTTAAAACTTTATATCCAACACAATAAAGTTATCTTACCTAGAGCTTTTGACCAGTAACTCTAGTCTTCCTCAATAGAGTGAGGCTGTCACGTGTGACGTTAACACTGGGTCAAAGTTTTCTGGTATATGATGTCAACTCCAGTCGCCGCTGAGTGAAGGGTGATGGGCCCTGATGAGCCAACACCATAGTTTCAGACCCACAGGATTTAGAGACAGAGAGGTCCCACCTGACCCAAACAGTAAAAATCTGCGGCTAACCCCAGATGACCATCAACAAAGCTACTCTTCACAGATCACCAACTGTTTAGCAGTAATTAGGTCCAAGGGTTTGAACGTCCTTCCACACATCAAGGACTTGTAGGAAGCCCACAGAAAGATGTTTTTAACTCCCACGGAATTACAACTTGCTTTAAACGACCACAGCCCTAAGGAACCTCCTCGTTGCAGCCAAGGACAAAACCCACAAGGAGAAGAAGTGTGGTGTCATCTGCCAAGGCAAGAACAACAAAGAACATCTTCGGCATTGCGGATGTCTCCGACGAAATGGGTGAAGTGATAAGGTCTCGGACCGGAGTTTCCTTCCGTGTTCGGAGCAATTTGACACCCTCAGCCCGACGGGCTGTCATTTCTGTAATAAACGCGGGTAGGAATTTTTCACTCTTTTGGTGGAAAGGGGTGCCGTGCCGCTTATCAATACACTTGATTGATATTTTGTGCGCCAAATTTATTTAGAGGTAAATAAGGCACATCAAAGTACATTTTCATGTAAGGGGTAATTTTTTTCGACATTTTCAACCACGGCTTAGTACTCGAAGAAGTTCAGAACCTAATGTTTCCAAAATTTGAATTTAATTAAAATCGATGCGATACGTTTATCGCTATCTTCCATGGCTCGAACACACCCACAACGCATATAGAACGTACCATCTCGGCGGTCAGGCGAAAAGGGCAAATAACCATCCGCGCGGACTAATACCAGGAAGTTTTCGCTGGACCACCAAAAATTGCATAAAGGCATACAACTAACAGGCTTTTCAGAAAATACAAATATATGTACACAGATATTACGATTTCAGGGATATCGCGGCCAAAACATACCATACAAAGTCACGTTTCTGGCGATTTACTGCGCACTTACTTAGACTCTGGCCAGATTTAAACTCCGACCCGGAACCATAAGGGGCGCTTGCCTTATATGGGGTTGGTTAATTAGTTTTTTTCGGATGACCAATGAGAGCGCAGTTTAATTAGTGTAAAACACATCCACATAGTCACCTGGGCATTTTGTTTCACTGGACACTGTGAGAATATTGGACAAATATTTTCTGAGAGGGGTGTAACAGGCTAATTACATCAGGGCCCATCATCCTTCCGTAAACCGCGATGGGGGCCACAGCATCACTGGGTCAGTCTACTCAAGGAAGACCAGAGTGACTGGTCGAAAGCTTTAGGTAAGAACACTTTTTTCAGTGTTGGATCTTAACCCTACCTTGACCGGGCTTTTTTTGGGCTTGGTGGGATTTCATTTGACCCCCCCCCCTCAGAACTCGCGCACGGTTTGTCGTATGACCACCAAATTTTCAGAGGATAGTGTACTAGTAAACGTTAATCATATTTACAATCTTTATGTCGTTATGACATAATATGCCGTCATTATGACGTCATTAATGTGATTTTTTTGGCCAAAACCGTCTAGATAGGTTATTCCCTGAAAACTAAATAGTATACAACATAACTTTACCAAAAGTGTTTAAGACAGAATATTAGGGGGTACATATAGAATACAACACGGGGTATTCCGTATCGCCCGAGGTATCGGCCCGACCGCGGGTCGGATCGCCCGACGGCCGCAGGCCGGAGGGCGATCCGACTCGCGGGAGAGCCGGGACCGAGTTGTATTTTATTTATGTCATACCCACCCAAGAAAACACGCCTTTCAATGCAAGATGAGCCAAAAGTTGGTACCACTAAACCCTAAACTGCAACAACATCAATTCCAACGTCTGGATTCTGTATTCGAATTTTCGAAAGGGGCACACGCGGTTTAGGGCGAAACGCGTTCGAATCGTTTTATGGAAGCCAGGGAAGCGTTCGATAACGGGTTCCGGACCGGGCCGTACCGTTAAGTACGGCCCGGTCCGGAACCCGTTATCGAACATGATCGCGGCCCGGGTATGATATAATAAGTCTTATATTGCCCATAGCAACACCCGTGACGTCATAAAATGACGTCATGCATATTTAAGATATCCGCCAACTTGGATCATCAATCTTGAATTTTCAAAAATATTTTTTTATGATAGCCTAAAATACACTGTAAACATAATAAATTCCTTCATTTAAACCTTTTTTGGAAAAAGAAATGAAAGTATTGATGAAATTTTAATGAAAATAACCTGTATATACCTGTTCTAATGATATGGTCCGCTATCTTGGATTTTGGCCAATGACGTCATTAAATTAGCATAAATTAGGCATATTTATTGAAAAAATTTACATAAAATTATATTGGATGTTATTAATATTAGAAACCATGAGTAACTTGACATAAGACCCATTACATTCTATTGTTGAAACAAAAATTAAAAAATTTAGCAAAAAAATGCCTGTCATTAACCCGTTGCCAAGGCAACACAAAAAAATCATTGTCTTATTCCAATGATAGATAATTGTTGCCAACAATATTCTAAGATCAGTCACCAAGTTTGACCGTTCTAGCACTAGCCGTTCAGACGCTAGGTGACATCAAATTTGGCGCGGGCACTTTTACCCCCCCC